TCGAATGCTATCCACGAAGTTGCACTGTGGCCACCTGTCTAGGTGACTCGACATTGTGTACACTATGTTGAGATAAGATGGTGGTTGGAGGTAGTCAACGGGAGGTCGGTCGCTGCCCGGATAGCCCAGTGGTAACTTTTCTGGCTGTGAAGCTGGATGACACGGGATCGAATCCGTCGGGGAGCACTAGTTCCCTCAAGATTTCAGGTACACCTTGCTGACGTGTGCCAAGTATCACGAAACCTGGGTCCAGGGTTTCCTGTTGACTACCTCCAACCACCATCTTATCTCGACTCTCTTCTGTGCCTAGACTCCCGACCTGAGTATCCAAGTCTCTGGCTAGTACTACAATATCTGTCCAACGCACTTTTTGTAGAACTGTTAATCGGTAATAAAACTCATCCTTGATCGCATCCGGGCTGCAATCTGTCGGGGCATAGGTGGAGATGATGAAAAGACATCTCTCACACTGATTTCTTACTTTGATGGAACTTTCTAATCTAACAACACATAACCGACTGTTAATGGGGATCCAATCGATTAGTGCTGCCCCATCTCTAGCGCTTAGTGCGACAGCAACACCAGCAAAACTAGACGAAGATGCTACAGGGTCCTCGGATAAACTCACATAAAACAAGCTTTTTGAAGCGATAGATGGAGAACGGATTTGTAGTACTTCACTAGAATCTTGAATACGGGTATCGGATAGACAACAGACGTCGATATTAAGACTTTCTAAAGACATTGTCAACCCTATCTGTTGTTCAGTCTGCATTAGTGCGCGGACGTTGAAGGAAGCCAGTTTGAATGGTGCACGTGTTTTCAGAAAAACTGCTTCAGTATTCGTATTTGGTGGTAGCATACTATATTCAACCGGGCAGTGACTCGAGAACGTTTAGATAGAACCGAGTTTCCACCATAGGCGAGCTGCTGTATAAGTTGAAAAATAAAGATACTCAAAGTGGAGCAACTACTACGCATTTAAATCTAAAAAATCACTGAGTTCATCGTAATTCTCATTAAGCCAAGGGTATTGATTTAATAATGGCTTATATCCGATTATGCTACTTAACGCATATGTGAAAGACTATGTATGATTCACGAGCTAAGATTCAACCATGTGTCTATAAAATAAGAACATCAAAAAGTGAGAATGTATGCAGCTCGCTTTGTTTCTACAATAAATTTTGGCAACGAAATGTTCACAAAAGGAATGCACATTTTTAAAGAAAGCTCAACTACCACAGGTCCTTTAAAATCTGACTGGAATCTGGTATTCATAAAAACGTGATTATTCGATGCAATTACATTTCCATATAGGCGTTCCTCTACTGCTTACGGGATGCAAAGTATAAGAAGAATAGATTATTTAATTTGTGGGGTGAATTTTTCATACCAATGTTTAATGCTGTTTGAGCTTAGTCTACTACGGTTCTTGCTATTATTTTTAACGTTATACGTAAAAGTTATGCGTGTACAAGTAAGAAGAGCATCTGATGTCAATGATCACAAGTGTGCCATAGTCTGTACTGTGGTACATAGCAAGTGAATTGCGATAGTAAAAGACCGAATATGGTTGATAGGGTGTTGTACAGATAGCTGTACTTTTAGTACTTTACATACTTATTTCTCCTTCCATGCTGTGGGGAGCTGGAAAGTGACAACCACCCTCATACCTATAATAGCACTAGAATTTCTGTTGTTCACTGTCAGAACCTTTGATATTCTTTATACTCTCATCACCGATCCTTCTCCTACGACTTTATCTTTATTTACCACCAATACTAAATATTCGGGTCCACGAGATGTTATTACTGGTTTCTTGAAACCGAGTTCTAAATTACTTATTGAAGCTCTCAGCATTTGGATCAAATAAGCCAACAGGATTCCTTAACTAGGAATCCAGAATCCTGTGCTATTGATGTATAATGCATCTCCGAAACACATGCAGGATCCAAGTGTGGTCATTTACTTGACCTGACCAAGTCAATACAGAGAACCTGCACGATTTATGCTCCGTGTATCTGGAGACTTGACTGACATATTTTGTGGCCCCACTGGCGCAGGTAAAGCACGAAGTCGAAAAGCGGGACGGGCTCTGAAACGATTCAGACAAACAATCGCTTGCTCGCTGCCCGACTAAATAGGAAGGTAAGAACACAGAGAGATAAAGAGACAACCCATCGCCTTCACATCACAGGGTACGCTTCCGCCGACTGCAAGTCGAATGAGTTTCTTGGGAAACTTTCTGCTCTCTTAAAAGTCAAACAATCGAATGTAGTAGTCCACACAGGTAGTTCAAACGAAAGTAGAAAACACTTAGATTGGTCTTACATGGTTCCAGCCCAACGGATAGGCAGCGGCGACCACGCACTACAAATATGTTCAGACGACCGTTAATTCTCAACAAGTACCAACTTTAAGCATAGAGCCATTGTCTGGCATGACGACCCCTCTAATATTGACGCAAATAGATAACGACGTCACCTGCCATCGTTGAAGAAGCTCAGTGGGAAACTGCTGCTCATTCTAGACTATGATAATGCTTTAGTATGTGTTTGTTTGTGCCGTACCTGGCAAATAGAAGCTACAACAAGGAAGCTCCTTACAGTTCAACTTAATGACGAAAATGTCAAGAAGAGGGTGTTATTATTAACTATCAATCCAGGATACTGGGACGATGGATCGAATAGTGTGAAAGCAGTTCAGTTGCTTTCCAGCTATCCTTCGATTGCCTACTCCCACCGAAGCAACCTGAATGTCATGCCGATATAACCATCCTTCTTTGTGATCGTCCCACTTTATTAGATATGACAAAAGCCCTTTTGTGACAACCACAGAGGAACCAGTTTAAATAATATAATTTCTAGAACACTGCCTAAATAATCGTATTTTTCTATTATAAGGCAGCATTTCGTCCTGCAGATCAACAGGTTTTTTTTTAAGTATCCGCCATTAAAAGGCATACCAAGGACGCACATTAACCTTGTACAGGCTCTCTACTCCAAATACATCGAGGGTGAATCACGCTCTCAGAGACTGAATGACATGGCTTAGAAACGTTCGCATAAACGCAGGTTCATTCACTCTGTCTTCCTTTAAATACTAAGTTTCTAAATTCCTCATAAATTTCTTTCTATCATTTCACTAATTTGTACTTCTCGAATTGTGTCTTGGATGCTCAACCTTTCCTATTGCCATTGATGCTGTTACTACCTCTACTACTCTGGGATTCGCCTTGACAATTTCGTCACCCTGTGTTAGTGTGGTATGGCAGCTTGATTCGACGTACACTTGTGCCAGGTTCTACGTTGCATTTGACTGATTATCTACCATAAGACTCGTTTGTTAATTACTCTGGATCAAATCGCTTAGATACGTTGTTGTTAAACACTAATTTATGATTTTGTTATAGTGGCCGGATACTACTTCAAACAACACCCGCTCACTTGGTTAGCCCCTTAGATAAAGCGCTTCGAGAAGCCTCTACAGTTGATGGTGTTCTTGAGCTGCAAAATGAGCACATATGGTCGATTGGATACAAGGACCTTGCAGGAAGTTTGTATGTTCGTGTTCGCCGGGATGCTAATGAGCAGTTGGTTCTAGCACACGTAACCAACCGTCTTTCCAGCTTGGTGAAATATTTAACAATACAGGTGTGTGGTTTTTTCTGATTAAATATAAAATGCTTTCATCTGTGTCAGTAAAAATTAGGTTTCAACTTGAATTCACTCAAATCCATCTGGGTAGCTAGAATATTATCTACCATAGTCACATAACATGTACAATGCGAATCCTAATATTTATTCTACTTATTTAAACGCATAAACATTGGTACAAGAGGGCACCAAATATATGTGCGCAACACAAATCATTCAATTCGTGTGGGGGGCACTCCCCGAGCATTTGACCTGAAGGTTTAATCCACAAGGCAGTAGAGCAACGTAGGGAGATGCATTTTTATGGTAGCCGGTCACCAACAATAGGTTCATACACCTTTTGTTCCATCAGGATACTGGAACCCATGTGCACCATTGGAATCAGGGTTTTCCAACTCCTCTAGGTGGACTCTCCGTATTCACCAACCCAGTTAAAGCATCTGACATTCGCTTTTCGTCCTCTCAATTTCATAAGCAACAGTAATTCTGCGAGAATGCAGTGAGTAGAACTTCCCTAGTAGTTGTCGTGTGCACGTGGCCATGTGAGAGCATTTCGAGATGGAGAGCTGACTTTCTCCACTCTCGGCTGTACTAGGGCATTTGGAGGCGAATCCTAATAAATCAAGTTGAGATGAGTTACTAAGCTTCACACGGGCTAACAGTCTTTGTAGTCATACCTTAATATTGTCTGGAACGTCCCTCATATACACTGATGTATGTTCCTAAAGCTTTCCATGTTAGGTAGTGTTAGTCGGTGTTTATGATCCTCATAAGTAAACGAGTTATTTGGAAAAGTCTCAATTATGAAATTATCATCTAGCTCTTCAATAAACAAATTCAGACCATGTATCCGTGTATGTAGCTATATTTCATTAACCGTATGACATTGAATAACTCGTAAAAGTATGTTCAGCAGAAAATAAGACTAACCAGTTAATCAAAGTTATGGATTAATAACAACAGGCAGTTATTTAGAAAATGGAACAATATATGTAATTTAAGAAAATGCATCTCAGTTATTTAGTATTAAAACAAGGAAGTTTTCTGCAATTTTAGGTTTATAAAGATGACTGGACGCGAGCAACAAACTCGTTTATCATGAATTGGTCACCCGCGAACAACGCACTGTATAATCAGAACATTCCTGGTACACAAGTTAGACCTGATCTAAAGCATAATCTACCGTCATCTTTACCTGCATCAGCCTCACATCACAAAACGCAGGAAGACAGTTATCAGGAACCTCAAGTTAATCCTAATCATTATATCTTTGCGTAAACGTTTATCTCTTAACAGTTAGTTGATTGGAGCAAATGATCTCTTTTACACAAATTAACACGGTTGAGTATTTCACTTTTATTGTTGTATTAACATCTTGAAAAATATTTTCGAAAAATTATAAAAAGAGCAGCGTATTTCAAAGTCATTATCTGGTAACTTGGATTAGTTTTAATTTCGTTTGATCAAACTTCCAACGGGAGGAACAGATAACTTAACAGATTCTGAGGATGTATCATGGAGTTGAACGTTGGTAGGAATACCTGTGTCCCATTTACTTGGTTTTTTTGGTTCTGTAAAATAAAAGTATGATAATTGGAATCAAGAATACAAAGTTACATGAAAAGGATTCTGAGTTTTGAGTTATTAGCAATATCGACCTGTCACTGTAATCATGTGGCTAGTAGACTTTATAACGCTCGAATTACACTTTCGAAGAACTGTTTTTATTGATTACAATCGTAATTACAAAAGTGATGAATAGGCTATGTGGTTTTTGGAAAGTATGGTTTTCTAGGTTTTTAAAAATAAAGGAAAAGGATTGTCTTTTGACTAACAAAATTTAGATTTTTGATCGACATGCTTATTTTTAAAAGGTTGTGTCTATTTTTTGTCCTTCAAGTAATTATAGCTGTGCTATAATCCTACAAAAAAAGGTTAAGTCATATGTTCCTAGTCTATGGATTATTAAAATTGTATGAAATGTTACTGATGTTACAATCGTAGCTACATTTTAATCCTTTGATCTGAATCGAAATCGTTCAAAGTTGAGAGTAACTGGTGTGAAATTTACATTCAGCGTTCGCTTTATCAATGATACCAGTAGTTAACAGTCTATTGAAAAATCTTACATTTCATTTTGTGTTGGTACTTGCTTCTTCAATAATAGTAAGTCAATTCGCTATCTTCACTAATGCTATGTAGTTTTATTCAGTGGATTTATAAAGGTTATTTCACGAGTCTTCCCACTCTTCTACACCGAAATATATTTGATGGATCTGTAATTGTTAAAACATATCAGTTTACAATGATTGAAAAGACCGTTCTTCGAAATACAGTTAGAGCAAGAACGTCAAAGATTGGTGGAAATGAAATCGGCAATTTCTAAGATGCATAGTGGAAACACTAGCGGTAAACGAGTGTAAGGTTCCCTTCTAAATAGTCTATTCCTAAATCTATATAAACAATGAGAAGGTTTTTACTGCTAGACAAGATTTACAACACAAAGAATGGACATGTTTATTAACTACATTGTAGAAAGCATTATTTAGGTACAACCTATTACTTTGTATATAATGAATGTTTCCTTCGGGGGTTTGGAAGTGCATGTGAAGTATAATTCACGCCTAACTTACATATCTCCAGGCGTTCATTGAGTACTGGTTTTGTACTCAATTTATGACACAATATAACATACTAAACTGACCATTCTATATAACATCCTAGAAATCATATACGAGACTATGTAACAGGTTATCTTAAAAACAGACAAAATTACTTTGAAAATGTAGTAGGTTAGTATAATTTCAATCTCAACTGTTAGAGTGCTAGATTTGTTATTTCCGCCCTTTATTTTTAGACCCTATATTCAGGATTTGTTGATAAGGCAAAAGTGAGCATGAAGCAGATTCTTTTACGAATAACATTTATAAAGTGATTTACTCATTCGGGGACATCACCACCTACTATAATTAGCAATGAATCAAATCTTTTATATATGAGAAAGTGTTCTTTTTGCATTTACTTACGATTCATGTGTGTTATGACACTGTCATATCTACACTTTCTTCAGCACGTTTTTTAAGGGAGAAATAGATATAGTTCAGAAAAATACATTAGCTAACCTATGTACCCCGTAGAAACGGACCCTCCAGATGTAGTAATGGGTTTGTCTGTGCTAGTAATTGGATTTTTAGGTGCATTCGCACTTGTGCTGTTGTTTGCATTCGTTGTATTTGGGTCAGATTTTTTAAGTTCTTTTTGCATTTTCATCAGTCGGTCGATTTCACGATTTTGCACCTTTGCAAGTTCTTCATAATATGACTGCGGAGTCCAACGATAGGGATCGTATATATCCTGATCAAAGTATGAGTCATAAAGTACTTATGATATATTACGTACAATCAGTCTTCATAAAGTTTCACATAAATGTTTTAACGTACAAAGAGTGAATAGTATAAAATAAGCTTGATAAACTCAGCTACACTGGTTACCAAACAAAGACTTAGCTTTATGTTTTACCCATAAAATAACATAGGAATCCACATAAGATGCTATTATAATACCACATCAAGCATTGGAAATAACACAATCTGTTTGTATATTCTATCAAAATGAATACTTATCAGTTTGATGGTATTCCAGTGGTTAGGGCGTTCGACTTTCACCCACAGCCGAAGGCTCAAACCTCAATCTCCTTACTTGAGTTTGGGCGATCAATTAGTGTTAACAGCCCTCACACCTATGTTAATGTGGTAAGTCAGTGAATAAAGCTATGCACTATCATTGATTTTAACTGTACGTACGTAACGCGTCGTAGCCAACCCCTATACTAGTACGATATGTTGGCAAGACAATAAGTAGATTGGAATCAGAGGGATTATACTAAGATACGAGACCAGTTTATTAATTCATTAGATATTGATCTGAACCGCGTAGAGGAGATACGCACTTCCTGTCTGAAATATACAAGCAAATTGTAATTTATGGCTCAAAATCAGTTGCTGTTACGCGAATGTGTGAGTGGATAATATGGAAAACATCACTATACTAATCTGTGTCTCACTAAAACCCAGAAATACCGTACAGAGATCTTCACACTATTTTAAACATATCAATATTTTATGCCGTTTTTAGGGCATTTATACTTGTTAAACACATAGTTAACACATAAAATGGCCTCTTCTTTACACCTTAATATCAATATAATTTACTAAGCACACGAACACTAGATTAGTATCTATGAATTACATGATATTGGGCATTTGTAACAATAGACTTACTGTAGAGAAGTTAGTTCCTTTCTCGTCGATTTTCAAAAAATCGATCAGCTTTTCATAAATACTAAAATAAAACTGAGTTTATGTTTGTCCACACGCTTACACACCTGGGATTACGGAACGCTTTGTTATCTTGAATTGCTCTGTTAGGATCGTAGCTTATATCCAAGCGCATACGACGCACTGCTCGCTCTACTCTTTCTTGAAGCACCATTGAACAGTGACCAGTAGGTTCAGAGGGCAATTGAACCGCTTGAATAAGGCGTTCTGTAAGAGTAGGACTTTCTGCTTTCGCTTCAATAGTGATTAAGTTTGGATTTTTTACATCATTTACTGGTTCTGAAATATGAACTTGGTTTTGGGACAAGATGTTGATAGGCTGGTCAGAACTGAAAATAGTTGGGGGTCCACCCGAATTATCCAACGGAATATCCATACTACCAAGATGGAATCCATGATCACCTTTTGATTTAGGATCATTTTCACCATCAGAATCAGTGTTCTGATCTGTATCTAACACCGTATGCTCATCATCATCTTCGTCGATGGCATAGGAAACTAAACCCGAAGGAACTATTGAGTAAAAGGACAAAAAGGAAATGAACTGCATTATACACTTACTTGCTAATCTAGCTTTCTTTGTTGGTACTGATGAGTTATTTGTATCGTTTTCCGCATGTTTATTATCACTTCTTAACGGTTGTACTACTTGCTGACGGTTATCGGAAAAAATGGGTGAGCGCGCTATAATTTATATGAAATCAGTTCAAGAACCATGAAAAGACACTTACAGGTATCTGATAAGACAGCTGGTGTCCCAATACGCTCATCCTCCGAAGTGTATATTGCTGGGATTTGTTCATCTATGGTTTGTTCATATTCTCCTGAAATCCGACATAAAATTAGATTGAGGTAAATGTGGTAAATCTGATAATTGTTGGCAGCGGCGAGATATAATAGACGACAATAACTAAGCCTAAACTAATAATATCCATTACCATTATAAGCGAAATCTATAGACAAAACAACAGGCGGACATCACAAGGCAAATAACAAACGTAAGGAAGTTTTTTAATATGAAAGAAATAACTAGGTTTACATAAAAATATTCAATTTCGCTATATATTTTGGGTAAATAGTTTAATCATATAGAAGATATCAACTTTGGAAGAAAAAACAATTGGTAAGACAGACAATGAACAACAGCGCATTTAATAGTAAACTAAATGTGATAAAGTTTTTCTTATGATATGAAACCCATTACCTGATTCGTTAAACAGACCTCCGTTTATATCCATATGATCTAAAATAGTAAACAATAAATCCAATGAGATTTTAAATTAGTGTAAAAGTACTGTGTTCAATCGTTTCAAAGAGTCTACCCAATTGAAAACAAATACATAGAGATTAAATAATCTACTGATAAGTTTAAAATTTTAGTAGCTTTTTTATTGAGTTACATATTTGGTGATTAAGTAGAAATCCATTATTTACGCAACAATGTGGTTATAAACAATCTTATAGATCTATACACTCATTTAACACCGCCTGCAGTTCTTTTAAGGTCACTGTCGGTCCCAAACTCGGGTAAAGGAGGGTTGAGAATGGGGTCAGCAACCCCATCCCGCAGAAAAATTTGTTGAAAAAAGTCTAAACCATTTAAACTCTGCCCTCCTAGTTGAATGATTGTCATTCAGAAGAATAATGGGGCCTCATGATGAAAACCGAGATTCTTCAGAAGTCACGAGGCCGATGCTCCTTCTGACAACCAGAGCAAAAATTAATATAGGCACATGGAATGTCCCGGCAGTGTGGGAGGATCAACCAAATAGCTGCAGAAATGAGGAGACACAACTTAGCGGTGCTCGGAATAAGCGAAACAGAAAAGATTGAATTCAGGAGAGATGCTGCTGTACTACGGTCACGAGAAGGAAAGTGCTTTCCACACACAATGAGTTGCCCTGATGCCCTTTAAAGAAGCACGAAATGCATTTATACGATGGGAATCTAATGAGTCCAGAATCACCATAGCACCCACCAGAACAATGAAGGCAATCACAAGAAATGTTGTGCACCTACCAATGATAGCAACGATAAAGATCAGTTCTATGAGAGGCTGCGATCAATCATAGTGAAGTACCCAAGAAAGGATCTCGCCATCCTAATGAGAGACCTAAATGCCAAAGTCGGAATGGACAACACCAGCCAGTCAGCTACAACGTAGGACCAGGCACATATATGCATCGGTCCAGGTTGCCATACCGCATTAGCACAGCAAGATGAACACCGGATTCATAGGAGTGGTTAGGTCAAAGGTGGTAATATATCGGGGAAAGATTGCATATAAGGGTATAGTATAGGGAGAAAGAATTAGTTAGTAGAAAGAAATATATGAAGTGATTTTAATCTCTTAGTTTAAGGGAAGACAGGGAGTGTATACACCTACGCCATTGTGGTCGATTCTGAGCCATGCCACCAAGAGTCTTCAACCATTGGTTACGAAAGTCACGCGGACCCCAACCAAGTAGTCTGCACCTACCAAAATGACTCAGACTAGAAGTTAGTGACTTCAAGCACTGATGCCACGTTTTGGTTTGGCCGCCCCTAACTTTCTTCCAACTATCTCCAACACCGGTTAGCATTGCACGTCGTGGTAATTGGTGTTCAGGCATACGTAACACGTGGCCCAACCATTTCAGTCGATGAAGATTCACAACCTCATCAACTGATTTACCATCATTCCCTAATACCCTACGTCTAACCTCACTATTACTTACCCAGTGATCCCAGCAGACGCCAGCAATATTTCTAAGGCATCTGTAACCAAATACTAGTAGCTTACGAGTGTCTTCTACTCTTAATGGCCATGTTTCGCTGCCGTAAATTAAAACAGAACGGACTGTCGCGTAGTATACTCGTCCTTTTATTGATAGACGGATATCTCGCCTTCGCTATAGGTGACGTAAGTTGGTAAAAGCCAAACGAGCTTTTTGAATCCGTGCTGAGATTTCGTCCGACACCAACCCATTGGGGCTGATCAGACTTCCAAGATAAGTGAAGTTGTCAACGCGTTCGACCACTTCACACCCTATCCTTAGTTCAGGTAAGTCACTCATCATCAACGTAGAACATCGTACGTACGTACATCAGTTCGAGTTGCCATACCACATTAGCACAGAGATACAATTATCGATTTAAATTCCATAGTGGTAGAAGTAGTAAATATATAGGCAGTAATCTGAAAGATAAGTGCTTGAAGATATTATTCAAGGGGTATAATCCAGTGAAATAAATTTGGAAAGAGAAAAAAATGGACATGAAGAATTCAGAAGATTAGAATTTGGGAGAACACAAAGAGAGGATGCATCTGCGCCATTGCGAACGATTTTGAGCCATTTCATCCAGGTTCTCTAACCATCGGTTGCTATCATCTCGCGGTCCCCAACCAGGTAGTTTACACCTACCAACATGACTCAGTCCACTTGTCAGTGACTTCATGGACTTGTGCCATGTTTTGGTCTGGCCGCCCCTAGCTTTCTTTCAACCTACTCCTATACCACTGAACATCGCACGTCGAGGCAGTCGGTAGTTGGGCATACGTAACACATGTCCCAGCCATCTCAACTGATGACGTTTCACTAATTCATCAATTGATTTGCCATCCTTACCTAATATTCGTTCTATAACAACTGCATTACTTACTCTGTGGTCCCAGGATATACGAGCAATGCTTTGAAGACAGTATAGCTCGGCTACTTCATCAAAATAGGCAAGCCCGATCACTACGTCAAGGTAGCAACGACGGTTGATTACATCGATATTTAACTTTCATCATTGCAGTAAGCTATGACTGAAAATACGTAACAACTACAGCGAAAACCACGTCCAAGTCATTGCTATTTACTTGGTGAATGAATACGTACTGGCCCAAGAGAACATGAAACATTATTTTACACTCAAAAATCAAGTACGGGTTTAGGTGCTCACTTTTCAACAATGACAATTTGTACAACACTGCCGAACGTGAAGTTTGAAAAATTGTGTTTGAACGTAGTGAGTTATGTAAAGGTATTTTCCCTGACTTGTGTATCGCAAATAACAGATTAATTTAACTAGTCAATTATAACCATCACTAACAAAGGCTGTCAATAATACTCAGCTGAACATTGCCATGTGCACAATTACAGGACAAAAAATGAAACCACGACAACCCTGTTTGTTAGTGGTGAAGGCCCGTAAAATTTTGAATGAAACTGACGAACCCCTGTTAGTGTATATACCCGTCCCTATCTCTCTATTTCGGGGTTTTCCTCAGAACTGGGGAAATTTCGGGGTTTCTGTGCCATTTCCCTGAAACAGACAAATCCTCCCCCGAAATAGAGAGATTGGGTTCAGGCACTATTGCAATTTTATAAACTTATTCAGTTGGAGAGACACAACTACGGTCTTTGGGTTTCTTAACCTCTTTACGGTCTATGATATGCCAGATTTTAAGAAACCACTGTTATAAAAATCACAGAACCCAATATTAGTTCCTCAGATGCATGTATATCTAATCTCTCGACTTTGCACGTATACATTTATACATGCATATGCATGCATGCATACATATACATATATTCCAAATGCATTTGGGATATGGTGTTGTGTTGGTGTGTATTGGATAATCAAGCAGCCATCAAACGACTAGGCAGAGTAAAGACTCTCCACATATAATATGCAGTTACATTGCTTTGTCTACGACACAAGATGAAATAATAGAACAGATACCGAAGTGAGCACTTACCGTAACCTTGAACAGATCAACGCGCGTTAGCTAAATGGTTCAGTCAAATGGTTCAAATGGTTGTGGACGGAATAGAAGAAGCTTTCGCTTAACAGGCTTCCGTGTCTAGTAGAAGGGGATCACCAAATCCTCCAGGCAGGAACCTAGGTATGTTAACAATAAAAAAGGAAAAGAAATTGGTAAATCATAATGTGATGCTGTCCTTGGTCCTTAAGAATAGGTCAAGTTGCCTCTTGAAGGACTCCTGAGAAGTCGCTTGGACTAGCTCGGCCGGCAGCGAATTCCAGCCTTTGACAACTCTTAAGGAGTAGAAGTTGTGTCTACATTCCGTCTTGCTATGTTGTGTTTCCAGTTTCTGGGTGTTACCCCTTAGGTTATTATTCGAACTAAGCTTAAGTAGGTGTTTAAGAGGATGTCCAGAAGTGTTAAGAATACTATAAGCCATTAGTAAATTACCTCTAAGACGCCTATATTCTAGTGGGTAAAGGTCTAGTGAACGGAGGCGTTCTTCGTAAGGCTTAGATTTGAGTCATCGGTAATAAGAATAGTAGGTTGGTGAACCTGTGGTAATCCTGACGGTTTGCGTTGCAGTGAAGTTCTGGCTTCTCCTTGAAATTATTCACTGACGGGTCTGATACCATTTGTCCGGGTAAGGCGTTTCAGTCATTGACCACTCGATGAGAAAAATGGAACCCCACATTAAGTTTATTAGATCGAGGTTTATGAACCTTCTAGCTATGACCTCGAAGATTAATAATACTGGAGGAAGCAAAAAGATAATACATATTGACACCCAAATCGTGATTAAAGATACGAAATTCCGGTATAAGGTCACCCCGCGTCCTACGATACAACAAGGGGAAAGGTCTAGGCGTTTTGAACACCCATCGTGAAGGAGTCTAGAAATACCCTTACTAACTTGATTCCCACACGTTGGACACGCTGCTTGGATATAGTACTCTAAATGTGGGCTTACACTGGGGGGGGGTATATAATTCGAAACATTTCCTCGTCAAAGCATTTGAATGCTCGGTGAAGTGACCATAACACACGAAAACCTATGACAGCAGCTGCATTGCAATGAGTAGCTGTTTTCAAGCCACGACTTATTATTACTTCTAAGCCTTTATGTTCTTGAACGCATGGAGGAGGTTTGCCATCAATAGTATAATGGTAACTACTACCGCGACCGATGTGCATTAACACACTCTTCTTGTAGTTGATTTCTAAGTTCCAACCTCGAGCCCATCTAACTAATTCGTCTAAGTCAGCTTGCAGATCCAAATGATCAGCCTCACTTTTTACTGCTCCTCGAATTTCGACACCATCCCAAAACAGTGATGTTGATGACTTAATCAATGGCGGTAACTAATTAACGTAGAGAAGGGGAGATAGACCTAATATGTTGCCTTGGGCTACACCACTTTTGACCGGCTTCCATTCGGATAGCGTTCCATTGATCCTCACTCTCCGTATGCAGTCACGTGAGAAGTTTCCTATCCATTCCTGTACAGCGTCTATTATCGCAAAGCTCGAGAGCTTCTGCATAAGACCCAAGTGTGAAACCTTGTTAAATGCTTTGCAAAAATTTATGAATATCACATCGGCAGACAGGCCTTTGTCTAAGGCGGCTGTCCAATCCTATATCGCAACAAATTAGTAGCGTGAACGCTTGTTACAAAATCCATGTTTCTGATGAGCTAACAGATTGAGTGAATCTATGCGACTTAGCAACTTAACCCGAGCTATCTTTTCAAGTAACTTAACGACTATACAGGTTAGATTAACAGGCCGGTGGTTAGATACGATCTATCTCTGACTATCCTTAAATGCAGGACTGATTATAGCGTCTTTCTAATCTCTAGGTAATTGGGCGAGTGAGAGGGACATGTTGAAGAGTGTCGCGAGCGGTTTTGAAATAATGTTTCCAAGCCGTGGATGTAACACGTCAAGGCCCGGTATCTTACAAAGTTTGAGGTTAGTTATCAATGGAAGGACAGTTTCCTCAGTTACTTGTACAGATTCAATGGCAATGTGATAGCTTACGTGCTAACCGTTAGATAAATGGTGACGTTACGGACTCGAATGCAGCCTTAAACTTATTCCATTCGTCTTCGATCGATCCATCTGCGTCGACCGACTAATCTGTCGAGATAGCACAGGCTCTGATTGCCGGAATATTAGCTCGCCAGATATTGGGACGGGGTGGGGCAGATGCAAATTGTATACCATGTGTCCTAAACTTAAAGTAAAGTACAACGTGATCACTGTTCACTAGTGGGGAAATTCGCTGAATATCAAAGACATCCTCATAGTGGTGGGTGAGGGCAAGGTCATGCAGTGACGGATCATGTTGAAAACCAAAATGTGTCGGTTTTGTGATACATTGTACAAGTGCACACTGAATGGCGGTTGATAGAAGGTCGCTATTGAAACCAACACCTGTAGCTGTAAGCTCTATCCAGTTGATATGCAGTGCGCTGAAGTCCCCAATAATGAGACATTCTGCCATACTCCAAGGACAGGTGTGTCTTAAAATAAAGTCGTTAGCAAGACAACGCGGACTACGGTCTATTCTCCCTATAGTAACTAACCCATTTCTCAATTTAATTTTACAACATGCGACCTCACATGTACCACTAACATGCGCCTCCGATATGACTGATTGTATACGAAAGTGATCCCTAACATATAACATTATGCCTCCCCCCTTGCGACTCAAAACTTTATCACTTCAAATACAGATATAGTCTGCAATGATGGGGGAACATTCTATATCTACGGTGAACCAAGTTTCTGTAACAACAATTATATCAGAACTTAACTCATCCACCATCAGACTTCACTTGGACGTTTTATTTCTAAGACTATGGGCGTTCGTGTAGCACACACTTAAGGCGTTTTGGTAATCATTCGTTCTACCAATACAGGCCTCGGAAGCATTGGCTTCCAAGACCTGACTACCCGAAAACCCTTAATGGTAAGGTTAGTTTCGCCGTTTAACTTGCGAGTTCTCAACTCCGTAAGAGCATTCTTCTACTTGATTCGATCCTCAAGCGGCTAATCTGGTCAGATACGAATATTTGAATCATGAGTTCGATTCTGCATATTAGCCACTGGGATCTTACAATTAATTTTCACTGTAACAGAGTCATGGGAGTCGAGTGAGTGACTCATAGCAAATTTGGTGTAGTTTTGTTCTCTGAGCTGGATGGTTTGGTCGTGGAGCTTTCATCGTTTTTCTGAACGACATCATCAGCACAAACTTTAGATAGAAGTGAAGTGTTCGAATTTCTCCATATATGTTTCACAGCTTGTTCTGTGCACCTCGATGTTGATTGGTTCTTGTTGACCTTAAATTTATCATTGTTTACTTCTTTGTTTTGGTTGTGTTTCCCATTGGTTTGATTTTTGTTCCTATATTTATGCATGATTTTCCCGATTGGTTGATAAATTGGATTGATTTCAATATGTTTGTTGATTGCTGATCGACCTGAGTGCCAAGCTTCTAAAAATTCTCTGGTGTTTTTGGAGTTTCCTCTGTCTAAGATTTCTACATGAACATCAATTAGCAGTCAGACGCCATGGTATCTCTTCACTTATATCAATACACGTGGATAACTACGGACACTCATTAGATTGGGAAAATGTAGAAATCTTAGACAGAGGAAACTCCAAAAACACCAGAGAATTTTTAGAAGCTTGGCACTCAGGTCGATCAGCAATCAACAAACATATTGAAATCAATCCAATTTATCAACCAATCGGGAAAATCATGCATAAATATAGGAACAAAAATCAAACCAATGGGAAACACAACCAAAACAAAGAAGTAAACAATGATAAATTTAAGGTCAACAAGAACCAATCAACATCGAGGTGCACAGAACAAGCTGTGAAACATATATGGAGAAATTCGAACACTTCACTTCTATCTAAAGTTTGTGCTGATGATGTCGTTCAGAAAAACGATGAAAGCTCCACGACCAAACCATCCAGCTCAGAGAACAAAACTACACCAAAATCATCCACCTGAGCTACAAATCTTCTCCACCATCTCAACTCATAGCAATGTTTGACGGGGCTTTACTTTGGGACTTAGGCGAAGTAGCCTCTACATTAGAGCTACTCGAGACAATAATAGTTTTGTCTGGATCAACGGTCACAAATATCTAATGACGCATCACTCAAATGGTTAGGATGGTCGTGGGCGACATAGATGAAAATTTAGCCTTACAAGCTTCTGCTTCGAGAATTTATAATTCACTACTTCTAGGTATGGATCTAAGAGAATGAAACAAACCTTGCTGTTAGGATGAAAAAAGGTTTATGGATAACAAACGGTCGCTTAGGCCTGTGGTGTTACTGGTTCCTCATCTCACTATCTTTGAAGATGAGTTTGTGATTTCTGATAAGATTTGCATTAAACATGTTACACTCACAGAAGACAAAAGATTGCGAGAGTGCAAACAGTTGATCGGTATGACATGGCTTGGCCTTGCAGACGTGGTCATCCTGCTTAACTCATTTCTTTTCACATTACATGTATTCTGTCCCCAGCTCAAATGTGTTCTTCAGAATTGCAAATAATTGTATTGCTGATTTTCAAGATAAAACGAGTCAGTGTAGACCATGATGGGTCTTCCATGTAAGATCCTCTAGATTAGGTAGTCACATCATGACAAATCTGTAACAGCTTAGGTTGGTTGGTTGAGAGTTGACCCCAAACAACCAAGCATATGCCAAAACAGTATTGTTCAAGTATTCATTCACTTCCTTGTTTTGTATAAGCGTTATATTTCCTATTATCTTATATTGAATGTTGAGAGCCTTTGTTTGTCTGAGCAGATAATCCCACGCTCCACTGTTACCGCGCTGAGATCGAAATAAAGACCTATTCACTACTTCTCTGGTTTCTTCTATCAATAGCACGAGGGTTACCTTAAGGCACGAAACTGGTGAGCCCTTTTTTAACACCAATTTGACCTTATTTCTGTTATTAACATTTTTTTTACTTAATCGTGAAAGTAGACCTGATTATCCGTAGA